TAAAATTAAGTAAAGTAACACTTATTTCTTCTCTAATATATATATATATATATATATATATATATATTGATGTGTAATCTAGTTATTGTTTACCAATTTACATAGAACCAATTTGTTTAGCCACCAATTTAGTCAAGAGGGTTAATTCGGATTTATCATGTATATTTAATGTTTATAATTATACGTGATTTTTCTAATAAGTTGTTATTTTTTTATGTTTAGTTTACTAAATGAAGATTAATGTATGTAGATTTTGGAATTACAGTTTATTTTATTTTACGGAGATGTATCATGTGTGATAATTTAAATGTTCATTTTTTTTAAAAATAGCATTTTTCATACTAGGACTATTAAGTGCTTTTAACAATATTTAAATCAAGTGTAGAATCGATTTTTATGAAATATTTATTTTCCTTTTTTTTCTCTCACTGTTATTTATCCTAATTTTCTCCATTTAACTTTTAATAAATGATTTATCTAATCCACTTACATACCAAATTTTAAATTGTTACAATCTTTAATCTGGATGTATACGAAAAAATAATATGTTCTATAAATTATTAAATTGACCAAAGAAAGAAACCTTTTACCACATAATAAACTGGGTTTATCAGCCATGTCAATGACCAGACCAAGGAATCCAAATGTTATATTGAGTCACTCCAAGATAATCTTTGTAAGTGTAACGTCTTATTCATATATAGCTGTATTGTTTACAAGGGAACGTGCATAATTGTGTGTCTAAGGCTTGCATGGTTGGTTTTTAGCTGTATGAAAAATTTGATGATGTCGGTCATCTTTTTTTTTTTTTTCAAGTTTGGTCCATATATACTTTTATTACTACTAAATGGATCACTTATGTTTAAATTACTCTTATTAATAGATAAAAAACCAAATTAAAAATAAACTTTAAGAGGAGTAGGATTTGTGACATGGTATCTCCTTAGAGGACTAAGATTAGTGGATTCGCCAAAGAAAAACGCAAGGCCAAAACATGGACAATGACGCTAGACTACTCCTCCTCTAAGGAGATACCATTGCAGCTAACCTACTCATTGAGAACCAGACTCCACTTATAGTCTCCTCCATGGAGCAATTCATCAAAAGCTCTTATGCGTTGATCGCACGAGCTGTTTATGATCACAAAGCTGATCCGGGAATTCTCGAAGCTCATCTTCAAGCATGAGTCCCTACAGGTTTCAAAAGATATTTTAGCCTTTGCAAACTTCTTGAAGCTCTGCACTTTGGAAAACTCATTAAACCTCTATCTTTATGTTTCATGTAATCTCTCTGTTTCAATTTGTATGAACCTACCTCTTTTGAGGATCTAATTGAATTAAAATATCTTTGCACAAAATAATAAATAAAATAAAAAAACTTTAAGAGAAAAATACCATAAAACATGTTTATCAGAGCATCCTTAATGGTAATATCTTAATTAGGAGTATCTTAGGCCACCCTTAATGGGAGGATCTTAGAGGCTCAAATTACATTGAAAAATATCTTGCATAAGATGTTATCATTAAAGATGGTCTCTATACAACTACATGACCATTTTAGTAATGATGCAAATGACAAAGGAATCCAAATGGTGTTTGCAGGTGTGGGCTCCTAGATAAATGTTTCCTTTGGTAAAAAAAAAAAACTATGTTGAGTCACTTCAGAAATCTATTGTAATCTTT